GTACTGCATGAATTTGAAGAAAAGGAAGACAACAAAGATGCGGTTGACAAAGACGGTGATGATGGCGGGGAGACCATTGATACGTGCAGCAGAAAGAAGAACAAAAGAGATATTTATGGACATGGTGAGAAGGAGGACATGAAGAAGCTGAAAAAGGACATCCTTTAAGTGTGTATTAAATGCAGCTCAGAAAGAAGTTTCTATTTATAGATTTTCTTTAGGAATTTCATATTGTAATTGGAGGGAAGTTTAAAATTTACCAAAATTTAATTTGGCACAAAAAATTCCCTCCAAATTTGGATTTTGGCATGTAATTGTACCAGACATAGGAAGGGGAATTATAAATCCCATGTTGTAGCCGAACTAATCCCTGCTGTGGCTGTGTACTTGGTTGTACTTGGTTGTGTACTTTTCCACCTTTTCATTTAATGCAATACTATTCACTTTTTTCTCTTTACTCCTTTTTATTTCAGGGTTTGGGGGTATTTTGGGAAGGTCAAAGGGACAAATACACTCCCTAAAATTTTAGTTTTAGTCAATAAGTCCCGTGTTTTACGGGACGGAGGGAGTATATTCCCTCCATCCCTAAAAACTTAGGAGGGGAGTATTTTAGGGTCAATTTTTTTAAAAATGGCTTTTGATGTGATGAGTAAAAGTAATATTTATTTGATGAGTAGATTAATTGTAATTAGATGTAATGTGATAAGTGTATTAAGAATTAGTAGTGAAAAAATGACTTTTTAGTAGAAACGAGGCTTTTTTAGAGGGACGGAAAAGAAAATGAGAAAAGTTTTCAGAGATGGAGAAAATATAATTTTGGTATTGTTTTAAAATTTTATTCTTACTTTATGTAAGTCGTGTCATTGATAAAATCATACTTGGTGTATATTCTTTTGTAACTAGCTATCGATTACAATTACACCCCATTGACTTCATGAGTCAAAATTTTGACTAAACTTTCAACCAACTTAAAGATAAGAATCATCACGTTTACGAACAGAATAAAATATGCGCCCAATTGAAATAGTGTCAGGTAGTTACACTATTCAAAGTGATTTTATTTGTTGCATAGTTGCATTGCTTATTGTGTCACAACTATGTGGTCGAGTTACACTGAATATATGATGATAATGATGATGCATATACATATATGTGAATATATGTTGTAACTTGTAATAACATCCACCATAGTCCAACACACTTAATTGACAAATTAAACAAAACACTACTGCAGATTACACAAAGCAGGGGGTTAATTAACTCTTCATATTTCACTCCTCTCTCTCTCACTATATATGTGTATATCTATATATGTGTAGTCTTTGTTCTTTAACTTATATATATGTGATGCATAGATAGATAAATATAATCGAATCATATTTTGATCCTGGAACCACATTGGAAGGTGACATTGCAGGAGTCGTCGACAGTGACGGTGTACTCGTGGACCGGCCTCGACAGGAACGGCGGCAGGTGGACAAGGAGATCGCAGACGCATTCGTCGTCGACCTCCTTGAGCCACCTGCAGCAGTCCTTCTCCACGCGGGACTGGTGGTGGTGGTGGCGGCGGTTGTGCCTCCTCCTGTGCCTCCGCCGGTTCCGCCTGCTGGGCGGGGACGACGGGGGCGGGTGCGGCGGGGACGGCGTGTACGGCAGGAGCGCGCACGCGTGGTTCACCAGCGTGAACTGCGACGTGCAGAGCGGGCGTTGCGCCACCACTGGCGACACCCACTTGCTGTCCCTCGCGGGCCCCGCCCCCGAGGAACGCGCGGCCGCCAGCAGAGACACTAGTGATAGGAATGCTGCCGCCGATGATGATGCTTTCATGGTGTTCTTTTTTTTTTTGTTGTCTTTAATGACTTTTGTTTAGTGTTTTAAGAAACTCTGGAAATGATCTCCGGCGGCGGTGGTGGTGATGGAGGTGGTGGAGGAGGAGTGGCTAATAGTTGAAAAGAATTCCATGATTCAATTTATATACGAAAATAATAAATCAAACATAAGCTTTACGTGTTCTTGATTAATTAGGTCGCAGATAAGGAGAGAGTTTATATAAAGAGTAAAGAATGTGGATAGGTGTGGGGTTGTAGCACATTTTATTACCTCACTAATCTTGCATGGCCTTTTTTTAAAAAAAATTATACTCCCTCCGTCCCCTTGTATTTGTCCATTTTCATTTTTGCACATCATCCAATGCACTTCTTTAATCCATTTTATCTTGTAATTTGTATATTAAAAAATTATAAAAATTATATATTAATACTCTATATGTTAAGATAAATCAAACAAGATCACACATGACTATATTTAGGCTTACACATTGAGAGAATTTGATGAGTCAAAGTGCTTAGATGAACAATTCCAAAAGTCAAATGTGGACAAATACAGGGGGACGGAGGAAATATTTTATTTTATTAAGTTTAGTCTCATTTAAAACAATTTGCAACCATTAATTTAGGTGGAGATCGGATGAGGCCTAATAAAAATAACTCTAATTAACCTAAACTAGTAGAAATATAACCCCCTAGCCTCAACCCATATTTTTCTTTTAGGTTTACTTTTTGTAGTTTGATTATTAATATTCTATTTGACCGACGGAGTAACAAAAGACGTAAAATTTAAAAATAAAAATTATATATTTAAAAAACAAAACTAGTTTTGACATGACTATGTTATTATATCAAATGACTAACAAACAAAGGAAAAGAAAAGTAATAAAGTTTGACCCTGTGAATAATAAATAAACAATTTAATTTGGGATGAAGAGAGTATTATAAAATTATGATACTTTGAAACGAGATTCAGAATAAATTTTTTGAAGTTTTGATATATGAAATTTATATTAAAATTCAATGCTACCTTGGTCTCTGAGTATTTGTCTACCTTTGACTTTTTTCAGCCAATCGTTTTCAAAGTTTGATTTATTATTAAATAAAATGTATATTGTACTTCCTCCGTCCCATAATTTGATGTTAACTTTTCAAAAATACATTTGATGTGATGAGTAAAGTAAGATGTGATGAGTATGTTATTAATAAATTAAAAAGGTATGATGTGATATGTATGTGAAAATTAGTAGAGGTCAAAGTGACTTTTTAATAGAAAAGGGAATAATTTTATGGGACAAGAAAAAAATAAAAGAAAAAAGAATTTTTAAGACAAAAGGAGTATGATCCGATTAATCATTAATGGATATATGTGTGTAAATTAAAGGATGGATTAGGTTTAATACTCTAATCTAAAGATTTAATGGGTCCATTATTGGGCCTTTTTGGAAATAATATTAGATGTTAGCGTTAGCATTTTGAAAAAGTAATATACGGACACCGTGTAGCTTTAACATTTTCAAGCTAGTCTGCACCGTTAAAATTTTATCCAAAACTCTAACGTTAATAAAAATGCTTATTCCAAATGGGCCATTATATTATATTAAATCAAAATAAATCACATTAGAAAATGTAAAAAGAAAAATAAAACCTCAATGGGGTGGGGAGTTTATATATTTAATTGTTAACCAAAGAAATATTTGCATTAAATAGCACTAAAACTTAAGTTATTTTCCTAAATAGCACAAACTCTTTTATTCTTTAAATATGACTTAATAATATCTAGAAAGAGGAATAATGTTTAGTGATGACTAACATTTACTTGACTAATGATTAAGGAATAATGACTAAAAGTAGTATATATGTATATACATGCAATAATACAAAGACAATTAAGATGTAGGAGTAGTGTCAATTAATTACATTACTTAATCATGCCCGCAAAGGAGGAGCACCGTACATCTCCATATTATGTACACCCTCCCTCTTTGCTCTCTAAGTTGCTGCTTACTCCACCCCAGCCGCCGCCACAGCCACCTCCCCGACGACGGCGCCCCTTCTGATTTCCGTCTTCGTCTCCTTCCGACTGATCCCGGCCGCCGCATCGAACCACCACCCGCCATATTTATTCTTGGTTGATCACCCTAATTAAGTGTACGTCGCCCGACACTTAATTATTCTCACTTAATTAGTAGCTCAGCTCTTTTGATAATTTAATGGTGTTTCATGGATATACACACACACATATATATATGTGGATGAATGGATGATGATATATAATAGAGAGAGAGAGAGAGAAATTATTAGAGGAGAAAGAAGAGAGTACTTTTGGGAATATATATATATATATATATATATATATATATATATATATATATATATATATATATATATATATATATACACAGTTATATTGACCTATTGGTGGAATTGATTTTATATAAACAATGGCAAACAAATTAAAGAAAGGAGTTCAATTTTTATGATTATATTGTCTCCTTTGCCAACCTCGTCTGCCATGCCTGAAAAAGACTTGTTATCAACTTATTATCATAGATGCCAGGTTGAGCCGGGGGTCTCTTGGAAACAGCCTCCCTACTTCCGAGTAGGGGCAAGGTCTGCGTACACACACCCTCCCCAGACCCTCATGTAGTGGGATTCAACTGGGATGTTGTTGTTGTTGTATTATAGACGCGTAGCAAGTCAAGCTAGCTAGCAACGACACAATCACAGTCCGTCGCATACGAATACCGTATCAGATAGAAAAGAACTTCGAGCATTTTCGGGGTTTGAGAAAGGAGAGACAAAGATAGAAGAAAAATTTCGAGCGTTTTTGAGCTAGAAGAAAATAGATAACGAGATTAAGAGTAATTATTATATTGATTGATTGAATAATAACAAGAAAGGATTACAATATATAGAGAGTAATATGGTGCGCTATTAACTAATTACGGAGTATTATTAACTAACTAATAATTAATTAAATATGCTAACCACCATACATATCACCGTTCTGAAATCAGAAAAAGACTTGAAAATCTATTAATTTTATTTTCAAATTTGTGCTAAATTAGATTTTTAATAATCATGTCAAATTTTGACAATGGAATATGTACATACACTAATATGTTTAAGTATTTTAAAGTGAATAATTAAAATATATATTAAAGCATGCATGCTTTTAATTTGAGTTTTGAACATAAGGCGTGAATGAATCAATTAATAAGCTTTTTATATAATTAATTAGTTAATGACAATCATAATCCATTAAAGCTCATGGTGATGGTATAGGAACGTAGTTGACAAACCATATCATATTATAGATTTTGGCCATTATTAATATAAAAAGCTATAGAATTCCAAGACTTTATTGGATCATAAAAACACATATATAAATCTAGCACATTTTCATATATTTATATATGGAGGCGTGGAGCGGTAGGGACAAACACATATGCAATTGTTGTGTGTTGTCAAGAAGACGTAGGACATAACATAGAAGACTACACAATAAAGTTATATTTTTTTAATGAAAATTTTGAAACAATATTTGTTATCATGGCCGGATTACACCTTAGGTATATATTGTCCTGTTAGGACTTAGAAAGGAAAATCTTAATTAGGCCGGGTTCTCATTTTTTCTATTTATTCCCTCTCACCGGATTTAATCTTTCTGTTTTGACTTTTTCTCATTTTAAAGAGAGTTTGATTATAGGCACATTTTTCCAAAATACCCTTCCAAATAAATGCTTAAAAATGAGAAGTGTAAAGATTAAATTAATTTTGGACGGAGAAACAAAAAATTGTGGGTATTCCGTCCAAACATATATACATGCATGTGAGAAATATGAAGATTAAATCAAGACAGAGATTTATGAGAAACGAGAAGATTAAATCAAATCAAATAAACAATAACTTTTAATTAAATTATAATTTGATTAGATTAGATGAGACTAAATAAGAGTTTAAAAATTCAATCTCATCAGAAAAGAATAAAGCTTTAATCTTGTTTGGTAAAGTCCAATTACTGATAGACTAGTTCCAGCCCTTACGTTGGGTCCTAATCAGAGAGCCACATTCTTGCCGGCCACTTCTTACTGCCGGCGGAGACAAATTCCTAGCTTCCAACTATACTCACTCCCGTTCTGTCCCTAAAAGATTACCAAAATTTGATATTTTTTTTCGAATTGTGACACCCTCTGACCATGAATAAAATATAGTTTAAAATAAATAAATATTATAAAATTTTGATATTTTAAAACTATATTTTAAAATAAACATAATTTTACTAAATTCAAATTATAACTAAATATAAATTCCATAATTCACGATCAAAGAGTACCATAATATAACCAAAACGGCAAACTGTGACACCCTCTGACCATGAATAAAATATAGTTTAAAATAAATAAATATTATAAAAATTTGATATTTTAAAACAATATTTTAAAATAAACATAATTTTACTAAATTCAAATTATAACTAAATATAAATTCCATAATTCACGATCAAAGAATATCATAATATAACCAAAACGGCAAACTGTGACACCCTCTGACCATGAATAAAATATAGTTTAAAATAAATAAATATTATAAAAATTTGATATTTTAAAACAATATTTTAAAATAAACATAATTTTACTAAATTCAAATTATAACTAAATATAAATTCCATAATTCACGATCAAAGAATATCATAATATAACCAAAACGGCAAACTGTAACAATTTTTTAGAAACAAAGAAATTTGTAAGTGGATCGCTTGTTCACCACACAATCTCACCGACTCGGGTCCAACCCATTTTCCCTTTAAATTTCCTTCCAAAGAATACATTTTAACCTCTATGGCCCAAAAGGCCACTAAGCCCACTCACAGTTGGCTGTAGTTGGCACTACTCTACGTGAATTAAATTATATGCTTTGCATTCTTTATTTTTTTAGTTAATTTGATTTGACACAATTTGTTACTCACTCCGTTGAGATTATACAATTTGAAAAATGTGCAAAATTTGTTATTTTTAAAATTTAATTTATTTACAAATTGATATAGAAATAAAAAACAACCCGCCTATTAAAAAATTTATTAAAAGTTTTGCAAAATAAATGTGACAAAAATAGTTTATTTTATAAAACAATTTATAAAAATATAGAAACAAATAAAAGTTATCGTCTTATTAGAATAGTAACTATGTAACCTATATTAATACGGAGTACTACATACAAATGCATTTTCAAAAATATATTTTAAGGCCCAGAGAATATACATTTTCAAAAATATATTACTCCCTCCGTCCTATATATTTCTTCCCGTTACGCAAAACGAAGAAAAATCCCAAGTTTTTTCAATCTATTTTATTTAAATATTGGTATAGAAATACAAAATAAAACATACATATTTAAAAACAACATCAAAAGTTCAACAAAACAAGTGGTGACAAGAATATTTTATTTTATCATATAGGACATGAAAAAACACAAGTAAATATAAATTCCCGTGAAGTTGAAATAGTGCTCTGGAAAGAAAGTTTAGGACGGAGGGAGTAATACGGATTACCTATAAATACAAGTGTGCCTTGTTGTGCATTTTCTTTGTTGATGAGGACAAAAGGAAGATGGATTTTGACTTGACTTGACTTTAATGGTGCATATATATGGTGAAGGAGTCAACCCCGCACGGGGCGGGTTGTCATGTTGCGATGTGCTTGGTGGACAAAGGTGATGACCAATTTGACATTACGGAGTTTAAAAATAGAATATTGAAAAATAAAAAAGTGTCATGAATTTCTCTCGGCTTGAGTAGTACTCCCTCCGTCCTAAAATTAATTTCTCAGTTTGACTTTTGTGGTCAAACTTTTTAAACTTTGACCGTATATTACGGAAAAAATACATTGAATTTTCATATAAATTTATTAGCAATAGATTCATTTTGAAACATAGTTTTGAAATATATAATTTTTATAAAATATATTTATATAAAAACTGAGATATTGATGGTCAAAGTGTCGCATTGGAGACCGTGAAAAGTCAAATGAGAAGTTAATTTTAGGATAGAGGGAGTAGTAAACTCATCATTCTCAAGATTAGTGGATAAGTTCACTCAAATTTATCAAGCGCCATTTGAGATAAAACTATTGACTCTTTGTGCATCATTTATCCAGTTTAGAAAACATGCACGAACAGATATTACATTGTTATCAAGTCAATATCACTAATAAAAGTGTTGTTAGAGTTTATTTAAATGAGTGAATTGCATTTGATAGTAGCCACTTATTCATTAGAAAAATAGGTACTAGAGAATAATGTAAGTGTAAATTTATTTGAAACATATATCTTCCAAAAAATACTCTCTGATCCATAATTTTTACGACATGGAAGAGTGGCACGAGAGTTAAGAAAGGTGAGATTGTATAGTCGATATTTATATTTTCCAGGAAAATTTTAAAAAATGATTATGCCTTTCATTCTTGATTTTGATTTTTGATAGGCAGCATGCATGTTGATAAAATTTGGGATGAGATAAGGATCGTTGGATTAGATCATAACAAATTCGAGTTGAATCACATTAAAAAGTTAAATTCAATAACTGATTATTTCGTTCAACCCAAGAACTTGTATACACCCTCCGCCCTGAGTATCTGTTCACTTTTGACTTTTTTCAATCAAAATGAGTAAACTTTGACCTTAAATAAATGATATTAGATAGTTGACATAAAAAAGTCAAACTAGACAAATTCTCAGGAACGTAGGTAGTATTATTTTATTCTTCAATTTCCAATGTGGGGGTACTTTAACACTCTCCTTCAAGTGCTCATTCAGACCATTTTGAATCTAATCGGTTGACGAGATCACTTGCAAATGGATTCCTCCTCAGAAAATGAAAGGACCGAAAATACCAACACACCTCAAAGACCACGAATCGTTGGGTTTTAACTTGTAGATGAACAATTAGATTAGATGGACCTGCCACATGCCATTTCATATGAATAACATGGCTAAAGACTAATGGATCGCTAGAAATTAAGGGTATGAACTGTCAATTTTTTAAACGGTGCACCGTAGGGCCCCGGGAGTAGTCATCTCATGACATTTGTCCCAATATCATGACGACCAAGCCATTAAATCTTATCTATACTCTTTTCGTTCTTATTTAACTGTCTGTTTCGTTTTACGTGTCAAACGTTTGACTAATTATATATAAAAATATACAATGAATTAATGTGTCGAATTTATTTTAACTGTATTTTCTTTTAAAAAAAATTGTCAACATAATTTAAGGGATGTAATTGGTCAAACTTTAAGTTTTTATAGCTAATTGGGCAGTTAAATAAGAATGGAAGGAGTACTTTTTACACATAAAAATGTTTTAATTTAAAGAAAATGATTTGTGGCAAAAAGAATTTCACTCTTATTTTAACAAACTCTAAACACATCATTTTCACTTTTCAACACTGTTTAAAAACTCCATAAAAAGTCAATTTTAATGAGACAGAGAAAGCACTGCTACTTCTATCCCTGAATATTTGTCCATTTTTATGTTTTTGAGTAATTGTTTTCAACTTTTGACCTATAATTAATTAGATAAAATAATATGTTAAAAATATTTGATATAATAAATCTAATAAAATTAGTTTTGTATCAACATATAATATAATTTTTATTAAATTTGAGATCAAAATTTATTAACTATAATTAAACAAAATTAAAAATAGATTAATACTCAAAAACGGAATAAGTACTCTCTATATTACAACATCTAAAAGTGGTACAACGAATTTGAATAAAGGGTAATGGAGAGATGGAGTATTGAAAAGGCCCATTCTTAAGAACCCAAAAATGACAGGCCCAATGCGCATGCAAATTAAACTTGCAAACGTAACTATGTCTCCGCAAAATGAGAAATCGTTGAAGCAAGCCAGAGGCCAAAAAAATAATTCCCGGACCAAATCAAAATCCGATCTTCTCTTCTTCTTCTTCTTCTTCTCCGATCAATTTCCCGGCGGCCGGCAACACCTCCGTGCATATATGAAACGCACAAAACCCATTCTATCAATTTACCAGTCAGAAAGACGAAATGGCCGGCGGTCAGGATATAATGCTCTCAGCCTCGATCAACCTTTTGTCTGCAATTGCATTCTTGGTGGCCTTCGCCATTCTGCGGCTCCAGCCCTTCAATGATAGGGTATACTTCCCTAAATGGTACTTGAAGGGCATACGAGCGAGCCCCAGAAGTTCGGGCCCGCTCGTCCGCAAATTTGTCAATTTAGATTTCAGGACGTACATCCGGTTCTTGAACTGGATGCCCGCCGCGCTCCGGATGCCCCAGCCCGAGCTCATCGATCATGCCGGTCTCGATTCCGCCGTCTACATTAGGATTTATCTTCTTGGGTATTAATCTTTTTTTATTTTTAAATTTCACGAGGCAACCGACGAAAGAAAGTGTGATTTTGAAGTCACGAGTTCGAATTCTAATATGATCCATGCATGCATGCAGACTGAAGATATTTGTTCCAATCACAATTCTGGCATTTGCGGTCTTGGTTCCTGTGAATTGGACAGGTGAATCGTTGCAAAATCACAAGGACTTGACGTATGATGGCATTGATAAGCTTTCGATCTCAAACATTGATTCGGGGTCAATTAGGTATGTATGTAACAAATAACTCGTTTTTCGATCTGGGTTTAATTGTTCACTTTTGATCACACATTTATATACCATATATACTTCCCTAGCTTGCTTTTGATTCATTTTGATTATTTTGTGTGTGTGTGTGTGAATAAGGTTATGGGCACACATTTCAATGGCTTATATGTTCACATTTTGGACCTTCTATGTCTTGTACAAAGAGTACAAGATTGTGTCTACCTTGAGGTTGCAATTCTTGGCTTCTACAAATCGTAGTCCTGATCAGTTCACTGTGAGTCGACCATTAAAAAAAATTTAAGATTGTCATCATCACATTGATTACATGATTTATGTTGTTGTGACATCGTCATGTTTTCTTTGATATGATACTAATAAATAAGGTTCATTTTTTAATCAATTATATATAAGGTCCTTGTGAGAAATGTCCCTCCTGACCTTGATGAATCTGTTAGTGAGCATGTTGAGCATTTCTTCTGTGTAAACCATCCAGATCATTACCTTATACACCAGGTTTGTGATCTCTACACTATTTATGTTCATTGCATATATATGCCTTTTAAACTCAACAAAGATTTTTTTTTTAAAAAAAACTTTTTTTAAAAAAAATATATATTACAAACTGACTTTTAAACTCAACAAAGATTTTTAAAAATTTAAGCAAAATACCTTTTTTTCTTAATTATTGTTCACTGCCTATGCTACATCAAAATTAACCTTAAAATTGTGAAAGTGTTTAGGTTGTATACAATGCAAACAACCTTGCAACATTGGTGGAGAAAAAGAAGAACATGTCAAACTGGCTCACTTACTACCAAACCAAATTTGAGAGAAATCCTAAAATAAAGCCCAAAACAAAGGTAATTAATTTACCCCTCCTCATACCATACATACACATTATAAATGTGATGATCATTATATATATATATATATATATATATATATATATATATATATATATATATATATATATATATATTATGATAATTATATTTCTTGAAATAATTATATACTCCCTCCGTCCCAAAAAGATTTACACGTTTCAAAAAAATTGTGTCCCACAATCTATTACCCATTTCTATTAAAAAACCACTTTTACCCCTTACTTTTTTAAACCCTACCTGTCACATCATACCTTTTTCCTAATAATCTAAACATCACATCTTACTTTTACCCATCACATCAAGGGTATTTTTGAAAAGTCAACACAAAATTATCTCTCCCTTAATTTCAACTTTAGTCAAAATGGGTAACACTTTATGGGACGGAGGGAGTATAATGCACAAGTTCATCCAATTCAGTCATATATATTTATATTATATGTATAGACAGGACCTTGGGGCCTTGTGGGAACAACTGTTGATGCCATTGAGTACTACACTTCTGAAATAAAGAAGTTGAGTGAAGAAGTAAGTTAATTATATGCCCTAAAATCTTTACCCTCTTTCTTTTTTTGGAAGTCCTATACAATGATCACTTTATTTTAAATTCTGCATGGAATGCATGAATAGGAAGAGGTGGAAAGAGAGAAAGTGTTGAGCGATCCAAAGGCGATAATGCCAGCAGCGTTCGTCTCGTTTTCGTCACGGTGGGGAGCAGCGGTGTGTGCCCAAACGCAGCAGACGAGCAACCCGACCGTCTGGCTGACCGAATGGGCACCCGAACCGCGAGACGTCTATTGGAACAATCTTTCCATTCCATATGTGGAACTCAACATAAGAAGGTTGTTCATGGGAGTTGCACTCTTCTTCCTCACCTTCTTCTTCATGATCCCCATTGCTTTCATTCAGTCTCTTGCAAGCATTGAAGGCATCGAAAAGGTCTTTCCTTTCTTGAAGAAATTGATTGAAATGTAAGTGGTTTTCTGTCAGAATATTCGTCTACTTTAACTTTTTTTTTCAAACTTAAATGATTAATTATAACAAATTCGCGTTGAATATTAATACAACGAAATAAATTTTCTTCATGTTATATATTACAGGGACATAGTGAAGTCTTTTGTCCAGGGATTTCTTCCTGGAATAGCATTGAAGATATTTCTGATAATCCTTCCCTCAATTCTAATGGCAATGTCGAAAATAGAAGGCTTCACATCACTCTCCTCTCTGGAGAGAAGATCGGCCGGAAAATACCATCTCTTCCTCTTCGTCAACGTCTTCCTCGGAAGCATCATCACCGGAGCTGCTTTCGAGCAGCTCCAGACATTCATGAACCAGTCGCCGACCGAGATCCCGAGGACGGTCGGCGTGGCCATCCCCATCAAAGCCACCTTCTTCATCACCTACGTGATGGTCGACGGTTGGTCTGGGATCGCCGCGGAGATCCTCAGGCTGACGCCGTTGATCATGTTTCATATCAAGAATAGCTTTCTCGTGAAGACTGAGCGGGACAGGGAGCAAGCCATGGACCCGGGGTCCATAACGCTTGCCACCTCTGAACCTCGCATACAGTTGTACTTCTTATTGGGACTTGTCTATTCTGTGGTCACTCCTGTTCTCCTCCCTTTCATCGTCGTCTTCTTCGCCTTCGCCTATCTAGTTTTCCGCCATCAGGTATCGCAGTTTGACCAAAAAAGTCACAACTTTTTCTTAACGTTTTCTTACGATCATGATTGACATCTTTTTTATATGTGGGGATTGGAAGATCATCAATGTGTATGATCAAAAGTACGAGAGCGGGGCAGCGTTTTGGCCCGACGTGCATTTCAGAATAATCATAGGGATGATAACATCACAAATTCTCCTTATGGGGCTGATGAACACCAAAGGCATTTCCAGTTCAACTCCAGTCATTTTGGTTCTTCCAGTTTTGACCATCTGGTTCCATCGCGTTTGCAAGGGCCGATTCGAATCCGCTTTCGTCAAGTTCCCACTCCAGGTTCACTCGTTTCGTACCGTTTTGTTTTTTGCGTGCTCGTATTTCATATCAGAGACAACTTTAACTAAAATCAGATGAGAACGAATTCGTGTAATTTTCAGGACGCGATGGTGAGAGACACGTTGGAAAGGGCGACGGAACCGAACTTGAACCTGAAGATGTATCTGAAAGATGCTTATGTTCACCCGGTGTTTAAGGGCGGCGGCGAGGAGGCGGAGAGGGGAGTTGCCGGCGGTGTTACAGCGGCGGATGAGGAAGAGAACAGTCCGCTGGTGTCCACCAAGAGAAGTTCCCATAAGGGCAGCAAGAGAGAGTCCCATGCCAGCACCTCCACTGCTCCTCCCAACTAATTACCCAGTATTAGCTTACTAATTACGGAGTATTGACTGATTATAGCTTCTTCATATAGAACTGCATGCATGCATTGCGCGTTAATTACTTTTATTTGGCCTGTTTGAGAATAGCATTAGACATTAGCGTTAACATTTTTTGATAAAATTTTCACGGTGCAGATTATTTTGAAAATGATTATGTTAAACGGTGCCCGTAGATAGCCTTTTCAAAATTCTAATGCTTATTTCTAACACTATTCCCAAATAGACCCATAATGTTTTAACATTTATTCTCTCTTTCTTTTTTTAGTCTTCACGTTTTCTTTTTATGCAAATTTTTAAATGTAAAATTATGTCATTGAAATTTATTCAGATGAAAAGGAATTGATCATGAACTATACAATTCTTTTTTAAGGAAAGAAATATGTGAGCTTCTGTGGTTACAATTACAAACATGAGCTTTCGGCTGATTTGATTCCTTAACAATGATTTAAAGAAAATTAATAAATACACCAGTAAAATAAAAATAAAAAGATGGCAAAAATTGAAAAATTAACAAGCGGTAAATTCTTTTACTAATATTAAGCATACACACATACATACACACACCAATAGGTGTTTGGTTCTATACAATAATCAATCCCGGCCCAGAAATACCTGGACGAAAATTATTCTTATTACTGATATTCTTTAAGTAAAATCTTTATTTAATTAGTAAATTCAAATTGGTATTAATTGTCATTATTATTCCTACAAAATAATGCTTCAATTGAAAAGAAGTAAAATAAAGGGTTGGACATCAAACAGCTTGTCTAAACTTTTGCATTTGTTCCTTTACGAACTCAGAAGCCCTCCTGTCAATAGTGTGGGTCCTGCCACCCGCCGCCGCCACCTTTCCACTACCATCATTTGAGACTATCGCGGCGGCGGGCTTTTTGTGGACGGGGCTCCACCGGGGTTCATCCTCCTCCTGGTTGCGGTGGTCGATGTGCTCCACTGGTATTTCTGTGTCGGCGCGCCGGCGGTGGAGCCGCGCACACAGTCCGCCGCCGCACGCGGATGAGCGTTTTGTAGAGAAAGAAGAAGAAGAAGATTGCTTATTTCCCATTCTGTGTTTATTAATTGCTGTGTGTGTGTATATATAGGAATGATTTAATGTGTGTGTGTATATATAGGAGGAGATTAAGGACTGTAATACTGTATTAATTAACAACATGGATGGTTTCCATTCTGCCGTGTGAAAAGATGGACAAACATTTCCACACGTTATTCCATATATATATTCCCTCGTCAAAGAACCAATTCAACCAAAAACTCAAACTTGTAGTTGTACGGGGCCCATGCCAAGAATAGTTATTTATATTCTAACACGCCTCTCACGTACACGCGTAGTCTTTTTCGAGCCTTGCATGTGAAACCTTAATTTTTTTTAAGCTGGGTAGCGTTGAGTTTCGAACCCGTGACCTCTTAGTCAACGAGGCTCCGATACCATGTCAAGAAATCAATTCAACCAAAAGCTCAAACTTGTGGTTGTGGCCCAGGAATAGTTATTTATATTCTAACACTTCAATATAATTATAAAAAATTTGCACTAAATAGGACTAAAATATATATTACACTAAATAGGATTAAAATATACTCCGTATGTTATTTTTTAATGTAAGACATAAACTTTTTATTCTTTAAATAGAACTTAATATTGTTTATGGGAAGAAATAATGTCCAGTGATGGAGAATATTTACTTGAATAATGACCAATGGTCTTATATTGAAAAATAAAAATATATGGTCCTATATTGAGAATGTCATTATGTTTTAATCATATTTAGGTAAATTACTCTATAATTATCTTTCTACTCACTCCTTCATGAAAAATTAAAATGTATTTTTTTATTTAATTTTTCACGAGGTAACATTTTAAACATATACTCCCTCCATTCGAGAAAACCTTTCTCTTTTCTTTTTTCATCCGTCCCAAAAAACACTTCTTATTTCTATTAAAAAGTCATTTTTACCTCTTACTTTTTCCTACCCTACCTATCACATCATACCTTTTTACTAATAATCTATCCATCAAATCATACTTTTACCCATCACATCAAAGGACATTTTTGGAAATTCAATACCAAAATACACCCCCTTAAATCTCCCTTCAAAATTAAAACTTTCATGTTTTCCGGGAAGGATGGAGTATATTTCTATTTATATATTAATAGAAATATTCATTTATATTAAACTTCTATTATAATTTAATGTATTTTTTCACTTAATTTGTAATGAAAATTAAAGAGTTTGACCAACAAAGTCTAAATGAGATTTTTTTGGGCGAAATTTAAGGATTTTTTTATTCGAATTGTGCGAATAGAGAATTTGATTTTTTAATAAAAGGACTTTAATTTATACTGTACATCATATCCTGTTTTTTTCTCTACATAAAAGATTAGTCAAATATTATTTTATTTAAACTTGAAACAATTCCATACAAAATGATACTCCATAATTACGCATACTTCTTCCTCCATTCATGAACATTTGTCTCCTTGTGATTTATTTTGGTCAAAATTGGTAATTTGTAACCAAAATTTCAATAAAAATAATATTAGATACAGATAAGAAATTATTTTATTAGATTCATTTTATAAAATATTTTCACAATATCATTTTATCTATTTAATACTCCCTCCGTCCATTAAATTCTTTTTCCTTTCTTTTTTTGTCCCACAAAATTTTTTCATTTTCTATTAAAAAATCATTTTACCTCTACTAATTTTTACTTTATCTATATATCTATCACATCCTACTTTTACTCATCACATCAAGACTAGTTTTGGAAAGGCCACACAAAAATATGTTCCCTTAAAATTCTCAAAAAGTCAATAAAGAAAGAACTTTAAGAGACGAAGGAAGTATAAACTCCCTCCGATCCTAAAAACATGAGAGTTATTGATTTTTAAGAGATGAAAAAAGAAAAGAGAATTATTTTCAGGGATGGAGGGAATAATATATATTAGTTTAATTATATGTCAAATATTGAAAATGGTTGAGTGCAAAAAGTAAAACTAGAAAAATACGCAGGGACGAAGCTAGTACGAATGTATGAAGGTGGAGGGAAAGTATACTTCCTCTGTCCCAAAAACTGTGTTGCGGTTCACTATTAAAAATTCACGAGAATATTTATCTATTTGTACGTTTTCTTTGATTATTTGATAAAATAAAATATTTTTTACTCTTTTAACGTAGTTTTTGAATATGTTAATTTTATTTATTCTTCTATTTATATACGAATTTTTAAATGGAACAAATTAAAAATACTCAACATTTTTGTTTCATTTTGCATAATTTGTCATGTTGGATTTGTGGAGGCTTGTGGGCTTGACTTGTTATGTAACCCTAGGTTTCTTTTTTATCCTATATATATTAAGCCCTTGCACTTGTAATTCACTTGAGACACCACAAATGAAATACTCTATCCGTCCCAAAAAGTCTTTCATGTTTCATTTTTTACGCATCTCATAAAACATTTCTACCGACATCTAAAATGCCTAAAATTTACAACATTTCTTCTTTATTTTAGGTAGAAGTTATTTTGAAAGTTTTTTTGGTATTCCAGGCGGAAAAAAGTGTTTTTTGGGATTCACAAGAAAAAGAAATAGGAAAGATTTTTTGGGACGGAGGGACTAAGAAATTCCCGTGAGGCTTGTGTGTCGTTTGTGTTTCGTTTCTCGCAGATTATTTATGTGTGTTGTGTGTTTAATTCCCAACATGTCAAACATTTTTTCAAGACACTAAGGGGTATTGTTTAAGGTACACGAAAGTAGCTGTAAATTAATGTGATCCTTTGAAAAAAAAATTGCGTGGAATCGCATTCTCTCTATAGTTTTTTTACGTAGAAGCAGCTGGGGGTTCGGATTCCATGTGTATATTTATCCAATTAAATTTGGTGAACAAGGCTCCAGCTTGGACTCGGCAAAATGAACGGTCACATTGGATTTGATCCTTTGAAAAAAAAAATTGCGTGTTAATGAACGATTCAGTGTCGTCGTCCGTCGGATGCGAATAAATCCAATTGAATTAGGAGTATTTATTTTTGATAAACACTTAAATTATGCTTAGCTGTTACATTTTGAATTCCAAAAAGCAATGAAATTATCGAAATAAGTATTTTAAATTAAACATATTATGCTCCTCCAGCACAGGTTGGGCGGATGCACTCTAATATTGGAGTTGGCGCATATGGTCCCCACTAAGTTTTTTGTGTTCCGTAGGTAATTAAGGTAATAAAAAAATATTCCCTCCTCCGTCTCTAAAGAATTCTTCTCTTTTATTTTTTGTTGTTCCTAAAAGATGTTATTTTATCTATTAAAAAATCACGTTTACCTCTTATTTTTTCATACTCTACTTATCACATCATACTTTTTTTTATTAATAATCTACACATCACATCTTACTTTTACTCATCATATCAAGGGTATTTTTGGAAAGTCAACACAAAAGTATTCCTCCCTTAAATTCTCAAAAAATCAATAAGGGAAGATGTTTTAGGGAAGGAGAAAGTAAAATTTATGCATATACGTCCCAACAAAAATTAATTTGATCTCATTTAGTTAGGTCAAATTTAGTTTTTTTTTATTTTTTAGTAAATTGTTTTTATTGCATATAATTAATTATTTATGAAATAAAATTTTATATTACCTACTAAAAAATGTTTGCATTCAATAAATGTTTCAAGTAAAATTCATTATTTTTTTGCCATTTCGATCATTTAGCTTTTTCAAAAAAACGGGGATGCTAGCCCCGAACCCCATTCAACGGTGCCTCCATCTAGCTTAATTAAATTCCTTGATCTGCAAGTGCCGGCCCAAAACTCTAAAAGTGATGGCCCCGAGGCCCAAAACTCCGATAGTGCAGGCCCAAAACTCCTCAGCCAGTGCACATCCGAGGAACTCTGGTCCTGTCTGCCCGCTCTACAGTTTGCAGCTGGTTAATTTATTTTTTTTAATTAATTTTTTGTTTGTGTGCTCGTTAATTTCTTCTCATCCATCTCATAAAGTATTCCTCTTTAGCCATGTTTGGTTTTTTGGCTTTGGTACGACATTTGGCTGTTTTGACTAACTTTTACGGGTCATATGACCAAAAAAAGTGTTTAGCATGAGAAATGTTAGAGTCACAAACATTTCGATCACAAAATACACAACCATACTATTTGTGCAACTCACCAAGTGAATAAAGTGATGCTAAATAATCAAAAAGTAAACATTTAAATACACAAATGGTAAGTTTGTGTATTTTGTGATCAAAATATTTGTTACTCTATCATTGCTCTTTTAGCATTTGAGTGTTGGGTTGAGTGTTTGAATCTAAAAAGCTAAAATGTAAAAACCATGTGAAGTAGTCTTTCATTTTAGTTGTTTAACAAAATTGAATATGGAGTATTATTTATTTACATTTAATTTGTGTGTATCTAAATTTTTTGAATAAATAAGATCTATTTCATAGACAAATATAAATAAAATGAATATTCCTTCCCCCAAGTAAAAATTCATATAGCAGTTTAGGAGGAAAAAAGTATTCTTTTACTTAATGTAGAAAAAAATATCAATAAAATGAATACTCATTCCCCAACTAAGATTAATAAAAAGTATTGTTTACTACGTTAGTTTGTCTCGTCATTTTGTTACATGAATTAGTGACATACAGTTGAAAAATGAAAAAATATATGATTAATATTGATTATAAAGTATATAGAAAGAGTGTGAGTCACAAAAATTATGAATGCTATTTGGGATAAAATACAATGACATAGAAGAAAATAAAAAAGAGAAAAAAAAATTGAAAAGAGTAGAGTATAAATTTTTTTAAATAAAATGTGAAATGTTTAATTTAAAATAAATATCTCAACACTTTATATTTTTTTCAATGTTTTTCAAGTATAGGGAATGAGAGTTCATTTGCAAATAGTCAACTGGTTAGATTTAAAATGACCCGGTTGTCCAGGGGGAGTGTTAGAGTGCATCCCACATCGGAAGTACAAGAGTAAAATAATCGGTATATAAGCTCTTGAGTTGGACTAATTAATCAATAGGATTCAAAATTTTAATGTGGTCCAATCCAAGTGTCTTGTTATCCAATTTAGTTGTCCAAACTCATCCTAAATTGTACTACCTCCGTCCCATAAAAAATGTTACGTT